CGAAAACACGATGGCATTTTTCTATATTGTTAGACACAAGTTTATATTAAGTAGAATAAATTATGATGATACAATTATAAACCTAAAATAAATCATTGAAAATATGAATTCATCCTCATATAACAAAATCAATACAATAGAAAGAACTATTGTCATCATATTAAATATTTTTATTAAAAGGAATTCGCAAGAAGCAAACAACTAATTCTATGATTCCAAGGGTCTGTTGATCCGAGATGATTCGAAAAGATTCTATTTCCTGGAATGAGACGTATTCTTCTTAGAAATTCATTCATTTAATAAGATTCTCATCATAAACTGGATGAAAATCAAAATAATATATTGAATCAATAAAATCATCATATTGTACAATGTTGACGATGAGGATAAAGACAGAATATGAAATGAACAATTACCATTATAAATCTAACGAAAATTTACGACAAAAATTTATATTATCCAAAAAAGAAAATGTCATAAAAAAAACTAAGTGTTAATGATTGACACGAATGGAAAAGGCAAAACTCAAAGATTCGAGAATATAAGAGTTCATTCGAGCACCAATAGAATACAATTAGAATATATTTCACCTATACACAGAAGTAATGATGTCCTGTCTGGTTTTCTTTCTAATTAATATGAATAAATGAAACAAATGGTAGAAATTGGAAAGATAGACTAATGTTTTCTCTACTTATTATCAAGACAAGTTGATTTATTTCCAATCGATCATCAGACAGTAGAATTATAGTTGAAAATAATGTATTTTAATCTATCATCAATATACATCGAAAGGTATCCGATTAATCAAATTATAAAGAAAACTATTTATCATCACATATTATTTGAATATTTTTCATGAAAATAAAATACTCACAATGAGCATATGATAAATAACATTTCCTCTCTAATTGCTCATTGATAAACATTCGAGAAATAAAACTGTGATTATTTTTCGACAAACAACATCTCTTTCAATTGAGATCTAATCAATGAAATAAGAAAAAGAATTTTTCTTAATAGAAAGATGAAAGATCACAATATTTGTCGATTTTTTCTTATGTAAATCTGTATGATGTCAATAAAGTTCTAACTAAATAACTCTTTAATGGCGAGATAACGAGGCATTAAAGAAGATTCATGTAGGCTCGACTATTTTTGTTTTAATTATCTGTTCTATTATTCAATATAGCGCTCGTTTCAGCTGGAAGTTCATTATCATGTGTAGCTTAGTTGTTATTCATTATCATCTTCTCGTGCTCTAATTCAGTGAAAAGCTATTCATATAATCCTGTTTAATTTGTTAAAACTTCAACATTTATTCAAGTTAACTTTTCAATACCCGCCCACCCATTTCCCATTATAAATATTATATAGCTGATCCTAAATAGTTTATCCCGGATAAAGGCGAATTTAACATACTAAGTGCAAACTAGTCGTGCCAAGTGACACCAGAGCCAAGAAGGCAAAACAGTCGTGTCAAGTGACACCAAAGTCGAAAAGGCACAACACTTGTGTCAAATGACACCAAAGCCGAAAAGGCAAATTCCTCGTGTTGGATGTCTTGGCATTCAACATGTAGAGTGGATTACGCCCCATGTAAATATTTTTTGCCTCAAAACGCGTCTGAAACGCGTTTCATTTGCGTGCGAAACGCTAAGAGTGAACGCGTTTGAACGCGTCCCCAGTGAAACAAACGAAGCGTTTAAACGCGATTTATTTTAGAAACGCGTGTGAATGCGCTTCTAGCTTGACTTGCGTTCAAACGCATTTTTAGCGAAAACGCGTCTCAGATGAAACATTTAATGCGTCTGGACGCGTTTCATAAAAAAACTAAAAATTTTGAAAAAAATATGATAATCCATTTCAGATTCGAACTGAGTTGCCACCATCAATATTTTTTGATGGTCTTAGTCTTCCCTGGCAAATGGATTAGATTTTACCTTAAGTGACGACGATCAGATTTGAACAGATGAACCAGTGATTAGAAGTCGTTCATACATACCGCTGAGTTATACTAACTCGAAATCTTGTCTTATTCAAAATAAAATATATTTGAAGACGAATTTCATCGGTTAAATACTTTATTTTAACAAGATGTATTTTTTTCGAATTCAAAAGTCTTAACACGTAAGATGACTTTTTAGTTATTTTTTTAAATAAGTTTTTTATTTTTTTAATAAAATAACATCTTTTTTTTTATCATCTACTACACATAAAAAATATTACGATCTTTTTTATTGCACTGTTAATATGATAAATAATTTTATCGAAAAATTTAATGAATAGATAATTATTGACAACCAATTTAGTAGAAATATATGATGAAAAGTTACTAATAATATTATTTAAATAGTAGTATTTAACAATATTCTGAAAGGGCGTTGCATAGCTGGAAACTATTACAATATTATCTGACTATTTTTCTTACAAACTTTAGAGAAATATGGACTGTTCACCGTATGTTTAATTGAATTTTGTCTATTTTAACGTCATCTCAACATTCTTTATTAGAAGTCCAATGAAGTTTAGATGAATAAAATACATGTAAGCTGATGATTTTGATTATGCAGTTAACTCTTCTAGAGCAGCAATTTTTGGGTAAAATCGCGTCCGATACACAAAAAATAAACACTTTCAAAGGCACTCGAAAATATGATTGCGTCCTAACGCGAGCGAAAAACATATTTAAGACACGTTTGAACGCAGTTCGTAAACAAAATTTTTTAAACGCATTAAATTTTTTTCAGAAACGTGTCGAAACGCGGTTCATTTTTTTCTGATTGCGTTTAAACGCCTTGTATAGAAAACCTGCGTCCAGACGCGTTTCAAAATTTTTTCTAACTGCGTCTCAACGCTTCTCATATTACACCATGTTTGAACGCGTTCAGTCAAACTCTTATTAAACACGTACAAACGCGATTTCAATATGAAACGCGTTGAGACGCGGTTCATAGTTTTTTTACAATTGCGTTTCAACACGTTGCATACAAAAACTGCGTTCAGACGCGTTTCAAAAGTTTTCTAACTGCGTCTCAACGCGTTTCATATTAAAAATGCATTTGAATGCGTTGTGAAACCGTTTTTAACTGCGTCTAGACGCGTTTTGTTGTGAAACCGCGTTTCAACGCATCGATCTTGCGTTTCGTGATTACATGGGGCTGTACTTGTGACCCAACGGCCTGAAGCCATGGCACATACAGCTGATCTATCTCTTTCCGTTTACATTTAAGCTGAAGTACGTGACCCAATCGGCGATTCGCCACGGCACGCCCAGCACAACTTTTTTATTTTAGGCTGGACGCTGCTGTGACTCTTCATTTATACAATGTTACCACTGTTGATGAACATTTTCTTTATTATTCCACCATCGTGCCAATTTATTCTCTTAACTTACAACTGCGCGTTTAAAGTGCCCAAAAATGACTGTAAAAGAATATCTTTAACTTTATTTTTATTGTATTTAATTGTTTTGTTTTTTGTCACTTTGTTCTTTGGCAGTATATACATATATGCCCAACTTGTCACTATATAAATAACAGTCTTCTCATAGAGAGATCGACATGAAATAATGTTTATCTTTCTTTTCTAATAAATAAATAAAATAGTTTTTGTTTAAATATATTTCATTTATAAAAGATATAATGAATTTGAAAACATTCTCAATGAAATAATTATATGAGAAATCTATAGATTGATGGCACGTTCATTTAACAGAATTTTCCTAGATTTATTTTAAATTAAATAGAAGATTTCTAGGGTGTGGGTATGGCTGCAACTGCGTGTGTGGGTGTCTACCATCTCTTAAACGATGCTCGCACTCCCACTCACACCCACATCCAAATTCACACCCACACCCACACGCACACGCACACCCACACCCACACACCCACACCCCACACCCACACCCACACCCCACACCCACACCCACACCCACCCCACACCCACACCCACACCCACACCCACACCCCACACCCACACCCACCCACATCCACACCCCCACCCACACCCCAAAAGCAACTATTTTTTATCGAATATATGGTGATAATGGAGAGAAATCAATACGTAAATGTATTAAACAATATAATAAAAAATATAAAAAAAATTAAGAAAAATAAGAAAATTAAATCAAAGCGTTTAAAATAATTAAATTAAATTTTAATTTAACGATACATTTATCAAATGATGGGTTACATTCAAATACAATTGGTATGCAACATATATTAAATGTTTTACAAACATATGCAAATACATTACAAATTGTTTAATTTATCAGTTTTGTCAGATATGAATTTGTTTATTATATTTCATTTCTTTTTTTTTTTTCTTTTAGGCGTCATGTGCATCTGATACAAATGAAAAATAAAAAATCTTATATGTTAGTTTTCATAGTTAATCATCGACTAAGATTATTTCTTATACAATGATTGTCACTAGTTACTCAAAAAAAAACCGGTTAAGAGATAAGTAGATGAAGAGGCAATTTTAAATTTTAGATACCAATGGCCACATCTAATTCATTTCTGATGGATTTATTCAGTGATTCATTATTAGCAGCAGTTGCAGAAACATCTTTTTATGGACCAGCTCCTCCATCAATTGTCGGTAAATTCTTCTTTTGTTACTTATTATATTTAGTAAATTTTATTCTTTAGAAAAACCGAGAAAAACCAATAACTGAACTTAAACTACCGCCAGCAGTGATTGCTTATTATCAACGTTCTGGTATATTACATCTTTTTGCTTGGCAAGCTGATTGTCTTGAAAAAGCAAATTCAAGTAGTAAATATTTTCATTTAAAATTAAATTCAAATTTTATCAATAGGAAAACGAAATTTTATCTTTTCTGTTTCGGATTTGCTTTAAAAAGAAATATTTTTTTTTTCATTTTTATCAAATTTAATTTGACTTTTAGTATCAACAGGCAAAACAATCGTATCTGAATTACTTCTTATCAAATCAGTGCTTGAAACAAAACGAAAAGCTTTATTTATTGAATTATATGTCAGTAATGTTCAAAAAAAAAAAAAGCGAATTATTTTCGAGTAAGTTTTTTTTCTTTATTAATCAAAATTCATAAAATGAATTTTAGAAACTTTTTTTCTTCACTTCATTTACATATTGTATCCTATGCTGATACAAGTGATTCTTATCATTCCTATTCTAATAGTCATATAATAATATGTACTATTGAAAAAGCTAATAGTATAATAAATTATTTTTTATCAAATTGTGATGATTTAAATGAAATAGGTATTATTATTGTTGATGAATTATATTGGATTGATGAATTAAATCATGGTTCTTCACTTGAATTATTATTAAGTAAAATAATTTACTATAATTATTTAAAAATAACAACAAATAATTCTGTAAAAATTATTGATATGAGTGCGACAATACCTAATTTAAATCAATTAGCACAATGGTTTGACATTGAAGTTTATGAAACAATATTTCGTCCAATATCACTTGAAGAATATATTAAAATTGATAGAATATTATATAATAAACAATTTATTTCTATACGAGAACTTCATTTATCTGATCGATAGAATCAAAGTGATAGTGAACATATAAAAGAAATTATCTGGAATGTTATAGAAATAAATTATTATTGTGTACTTATTTTTTGTTCAACTAAACATTGATGTGAAGTTTTAGCAAAATTATTAGCTAAAAAATTTCGATGTATTATTCAGGATAAAAAAAAATAAATCGATTTAACGCAATAAAACTTAATGATGTTATTGAACAATTACGTCATACTGTAAGGAAATTAAGACAAAAAACTTTTTGATTTATTATTATTTTTTTCTAGCCGGTTGGTCTTGATTCTGAACTAGCTTGTTTAATACCAATGGGTATTGCTTTTCATCATGCTGGTAGAAAGAAAAGCTTTTTGTTATATAATGATTGAATATATATCAATATTTCAGGTTTGACAATTGATAAAAGAGAATTAATTGAAAATGCTTATCGTGTGAATGTTATTTGTGTTATTGTTTGTACAAATACATTAGCTAGTTGAATAAAATCTATTTAAGAGAAGTTTACTGTGATAAACGTAGATCACTTATTTCGCTCATTGAATATCTAAAGCCGATTGAAAAGTGTTCACAAACAAGACAGTTTATTCTCGGTTTACGAAACAAGTAATTTGAAATAAAGTAGTCGGTTCATGAGTATTACTAAATCAAGATCTAACATATAATAGTTGATTACATTAGATAATAATTCATAACTTTCAATTTTCTTAATAACTTGATATGATCTAAGACAGCTATTATTATGGTTATCATAAACTATTCAATGAAGTAACAGTGTCAATACATACATTTGATTGAAAAACTTTTCCTTGAGTTTTAGATGAGAATCATATCGTAATGAAACTATTATCAATATTGAAGATCATAAATTTTCAGTCGAATATAGTTGTAATGTTTTATCTGATTAAGTTAATCTTCCTACTTGTTTAGTTATTATTCGAAGTGCACTCGAAAATGGTCGTTGTATTCATCTCAATACTTATCATCAAATAGTATGCTTACATTAATTTGTTTACGTATAAAAATTTATGTTTTCAGGTCGATCGAGCAAGACGAAAAGGCTATGATGATTATGGTAAAAACAAAAAAAGTATTTATTATTAAATTTGTATTTAAATTATTTTTTTTAATATTAGCGGAAAGTATTTTGATTTGTTCGAAAAAAAGAAGTTGATCTTGTACAAAAATTGTTTGAACAACAAAAACTAAAATCAATAAATACGTAGTTGTTTTTGTTTTTTTAAACAGAAACACATACAAGTTTTAAACGAGCTTTACTTGAAACTATTACAAGTAGAAAAGCAAATACTAAAGAACAAATTATTTCTTTTATTAAACTCAACTTTTTTCTATATTTGTTGTTTAAATTCAGATATAAATCAATAATTGATGAACAAATAACTATTGATAAATGTCTTAATTAGTTATATGATAATGAACTTATTCATTGTATAGATAAGGAAAATATTGATAATGGAAATAATTTACCTTATGAACCAATACAACTTGCTTTAGTAGTTATCAGTTCATCCGTCAATCCGAATGATGGACTTAAACTTATTGTCGAATTGAATTAAAGCTCAACGAAATCTATGTATTGAAAACCATTTACATCTTATTTATCTCGTAAGTTACATTTCATCAAAAAAAAATAAATAAAAAATAAATAAATATATATATAAATTGGATCTAATATAAATAAATTCAGATCATTCCTCAATATTTAATCAGTTCAATATTAACAACACTCGATTGGAATATATATACCATACTGTTTGGCCAACTGGTGCTGTTGAAAAACATGTTACACATATAGTTGGTGTTAATGCAATGGTTGTTTATAAAAAAAAAAAAAGAACAGCATCATTACCTATTGAAAAACGTCAATATGAAGAAAAATTAGATGTATCACGTTATGCACGATTTTTTCTAGTACTTATTCTTAATGATTTATTATCTGAAAAGTCAATAAATGATATAATAAAAAAAAAATACTAATATACAAAAAATTTTATACAATAATTCCAACAAACAACAGCAGCATTTACATGTATTATACAAATATTTGCTGAATGTCTTTCATGGAATAATTTAAAACAATTATTAAATGGTTTTCAATCACGATTAAATTCTGATATTAAACAAGAATTATGTCAATTTGTTAGAATTTCAATTTTAAATATTTGTCGAGCATGACAACTTTATTCAGATGGTTTTACAACAACTGTTTGATTAGCAAATGGAGATATATATGAAATTGAACGAAGTATTCAGAAAGTTGTATCATTTCAAACGTGAGATTATTTATTCTATAGTTTTTATTCTATTAAAAATCAAAGATTCTATGTAGAGCAGCACAACAATTAGCTGATGAACATATGGATCAAATAAGACGTGATCAATATTGTATTTTTGTACTTGGCCGATCACCATTTTACAAATGCAAAAGCAACACATGAAATAATTGAAGAAGCTAAAATATTATT